CGGAGCACCCCTGCACGGAGCACCCGCACGGAGCACGCCTGCACGGAGCACGCCTGCATGGCAGTGAGCAGAGCTTGGGACCGATGCTCCAGCCCACACAGGGCGTCTCCCACTTTGATAGGCATTGCAGCCGGGTGTCAGAGTGGGGCCTGGGCACCCGAGTCTCCCAGGGGGTCCTCACGTGGGACACGATCTGACCGCTGTCCTACACAGCCGTCGTCCTCAGCGATCGCCTGTCTCCAGCCCATGCAGAGGGTGGGAGGGGAGTGGGACCAGGTGCCTCAGAAATGGCAGTTTGAGGACGCCTCACGGTAGCCGTGTTTACAAACACGCCTGTTATATCTGAGGGATTGGAATTGCCAATGTTTTCCGAAAGAGGGAAGCCACGGCCCTTCTAGAAATGGGAGTATTCTACTCGGCCGTGCAGGCGGCGCCATGCCCCGCGCACTGGGAGTCAGACCTTGGGGGGGAAAGGCCGCCGCGGATGGCGTGACCGAGCCTGCGGATGCCGGAGTCCCTGTTAAAGTGATGCGTTCGTTCTCCCTGCTGGTTTCTCTACAGTCTGTTCTATCCCGCTTCCGCCTGCACAACCAAAAGTGAGCGTTTGGGAGTCTGTTAATAACACGCACCGGTCATCACAGGGCAGAGTGCTGACGGCCTCACGGAGTCCGCCTGCTGGTGGGCCCTGTGTCTGGTGGGAGAGAGCTGAACTGCTGGGCACACGTGTGCGGCTGCCCCTGCAAGGCCTGGAGACGCTGGTGGGGTGCCCAGACCCCTCCCCGGCTCTGTACCGTGTGCACGAAGGGATGCGCCTGCACTAGCGAGGAGCCCCGATGCCACGTTGGCAGCTCTGCGTTCTCCACGTGTCTCGGCCCCATAAACAACGACTGTCCTGGTGGCAACTTCCTCGTTTGCAGAGCTCGCGGCTCTTCTTGGCCGTTCTGAGTAATAATCGCTTGGCTGCAGGGGAGCGGACGGCTCAGACTGGGAGACCCACCAGCGATGTCGTGCCAAAGGTGACATTCTGGAACATTCAGGAAGTTCTGTCAGTCCGACAGAGCGCTTGCCTTGCTGGCAACCCCTGAGGCGGGAACTAAGAGACATCCCCCCCTGGGCTGATTCTATGAGGGGTGTGGGGGTAGGAATGGCTGCCAAATGAAGGGCTGGGGACCCGCCTCTTTGACCCCCACCCCATCTCCCTACGTCTGATTCACAAAGAAATCAGCAACAGCTGCAGATTCTTTAAGGCTGAGCCTCCGCGACTGCGCGGGAGGACTCGTCCCCCGTGGATTTCGTGTCTTCCGGTCTTTCTCCTGTGGGTCTCCCCTCCCGTCCCACGCGGGGGCCTGAGGTCACAGCTTCCGCGTTGGACCAGGAGACAGCCCTCAGGTCCACGTCCTCCCAAGCCTTCCCAGGCCTGGGGCTCCGCACCCTGAACTCTCGCCGCATCCTTTCTTGGCAGGTGGCTCCTCGGCGTTAACGGTGATGGTGGCTGTGAGCTTCCTGCTGACCCTGAGCATGCGGGAGCCGAGGGCAAGGGCAGCCTGGTCCTTCCTATTTGTTCCAGTGCCAAGCCAAGCCCACAGCCAGAGCCGAGCAAATGCTGCTGCCGCTGGGTCACTGGTGAACCCGTCAGCTGGTCCTGGACCACGCACACCTGCACCCTGGTCCCTGTGCCCAGGCCTGGTGGGTGCTCCTTACGTATTAATTCGTGCTCCTTAAGAGGAGGCCCTCGCAGTCCTGGGAGGAGCAGTCAGCAGGCAGCGAGGGGAGGGTAAGGCGGCTACAGGTGCGCTCAGCGCACGTGACAGATCCCAGCAGCATTGGCGTCAGCGCAGGGGCTGTGCCTTACACCCGCCGTGTGTGAAATCCGCTCCGGAATGTGGCTGGAGGGACCCAGATGGACATGACAGCCGGCGTCACGGGGAACAGCTCCTGGAGCAGCGGCCACAGGCCCTTCCAGACCCAGGCCCTTCTACACGACACCTGTCGGAGGCAAACCGGGGCCCCCACAGGGGACGCCTGAAGCCCACGCTTGGCCAGCTGCTGTGGACACGGGCGTCTCTGCCTTCTGGTCACCGTTACCTTTGACATGAACCCGCTGACCACGCGGCCTCCCGTCACAGGACGGCAGCGGACACAGGCGCCCGAGGGCCAGGGCGCCCCTGGACTCCCTTCTGCCCGGGGAGCCTGGCTGGGAGCCTGCGAGCAAGTGCTGATTACACCACAGGCCGCTGGGCAGCCTTCAGGCCGGATAACGTCTCATGCGCGTGTGAACGTGACGCCCGAATTGCCGTCTGCGTGGGCCGCGTGGCCTGCTCCGCCAGTGTCTGCTCCGAGATGTGGCCGGGTTCCCGTATCTCCTGCCGGCCCGGTGCGCCAGCGGAGGAGGAGCTGAGCGGGGAGGACGAGCCTCGGCCCTGGGTCGACCCCGGCCGCGCTGCTCAGGCCGGGGAGTGCGTCGTGAGCTCCCCGCGTTGGAACGCTGCTGAAGTCCAACACGGAGCTCCTGGGACTTCGGTCCTGGTTGGCCCAGATGCTTCTAGCAACTCCGAACAGGACCTGCTCCCCGCTGGGGCTGGACTTCGGCCTGTCTCCAGCCGCGTCGTTCTCTCTGGCGCCTGAGAATCAGAAGATGCGGCATCCTCATTGGGCCCTGCCCTCACATCACAGGCAAAG